GTGAGAAGGAGGATGACCTTTGGACTAATGGAAATTTCCTCTGACTTGCAGTACTAGAACCTGTTTCATGTCATATTTGAGCCACTGGTCAAAATCTCTTGCAGAATAGCAATAGCATCTTGGGAATCTTGCTCTGGTCTGGGATTTTGCAGAGTGGAGTCTGGCCTGTGTCAGTGTGGCTCGAGTGCCAGTTCATCATTGTTGCTCGTAATATTAAAGCTAGAAGGTGAAGAGGAATGATTTTCAGAGGCGCCAAATACCACTGATGGTTCTTAGATACACAGCATTTAAATTCTTGTTTATTGCGTAGTTCAACATAAGTACATATTTTATCCTTCAGTGTTGAGAAATTTGTTGTTCCAAGTTTGCTTAAAATGTCATGGGTTTGAAAACTGGCCTGCATGTGTTAGTCAATAAAACAGTACAGTAGCTACTAGATTTCAGTTCCATATAAACTAAGAAGAAACTTCTGGGAAGCTAGATGAATCGAGTGTAGATAAGAGTTATGTGAGAGAGCTAACAGATGGTATTTTTGTTGAAAAGTTTATTAGCCAAAATTTATTCTACCAGACATTCTGGGTTCCTGAGAATTCTAAAAATTATAAAATAAATCTTTTATTAAAACCCTACAAAGTAGTTGTAGAATAAGGCATGCAGATGACTTTCCATGGACTTTATTAAAATAAGTATTATAAATACCTTATCCTCATAAAGAATTATTTTCTGATTTTGCAATCAGAAAAATAAAGTCTTATTAGCAGCATTTCCCATAGTAAAGTCAACTCTTATTAGCAGCATTTTATATAGTATTTGTAAAATATGGGCATTCTTAAAATAAAAGTATATTCAGAAACTTACTTGTCATATGATTTGTTTCCTTTCTCTACTTATCCATTCTCTTTTTATGCATTTCATCAGGCACGAGTATTACAGTCTTTGAGAGGTTAACACTTGGCACAGTTATGGTCCAGATTCATAGGAGCTTAAGATCCTCGGAGCTGCTCAGAGACATCTATCTGTGACCGATTTAGCTACTCTTAAATGTATTAGCTGCTTTGCAAATCAGAATGTTATTAAAAGCCAGCCAGTTTACATACAGTTATTACATAATCCTCTGTTAGGCAGATTTTATGCTATAATCTCTGGAGTCTTTTTCCTCTTGACATAGGACCTCTTAGTAGTTTAAAATTCCTAAAGCAAAAGGTTAAATATTAGTCTACTTCTGACATATTGCAGACCCACCTCCATATGTGATCTACCAACAGCACAACTTGCTTATTCTTGCAAATCATATTTTCTTGGTCATATTTAAAAATGAATAGAGCATTCAGTACTTGAGCTTTTAAAGAGAACTGCTTAATCCAGCTCCCTGCATGGTATGTCTGTAAGATGCTAAAAACCAAGAAGTAGCTCAAGGATAGAAAACTTATATGTGCATTGCTGTCTGATCCAAACTCATTTGTCCTGCAGGAAATAAGTACTGTTTCCAGGTATTGATGTACTGTGACTCCATGTTTCCAGGATAATGTAATACAAGAATTAAGAAGAGACTGAATAGAAAATCGCAAAGAGGAAAATTAATTCCAAGGGGAAGAGAACGTAATGGGAACATGTTTAAATAGCTGTGGTAAATGTAAAGATAAACCTGTAAGCAGTATTGAAAATGGCCACAGCCAGGTCAGACAGTGGCATGGTGGTCAAGGCAGCTGGATCCTACATGGGTGACTGCATGGTTCAAGTCTTAGAATGGGTGAATTGAAAAGCACTGTAGGTGCATGTGGGTGTGGGCCCCAAATCCCAAACAGAGAGATGGAGAAGGGATTGGCTATCCCCCATGGTTAGGGAGGCCATCTTCCATGGTTGGGGAGCTTTATCATTTTCCCCTTCTTTCTCATTCTCTCTTCTATCTCTGTCTCCTTCTTCAGAGAGTACACACATCTATAGCTAATTGAAAAAAGAACAAAAAATAAAATGGGCACAAACTACTCTAGAATTATTAACTACTACATAACCATAATAGGGAATAAGAACACTTACTCCTCTGTATTCCCAGCCATTTCCCACTGGGTCTTTCCCAATATTTTGTATTTGAATGTACCATGACTTGGACTTGCCTCAGTCAACCCTGAGTTATATGTGCATTGCTGTCTGATCCAAACTCATTTGTCCTGCAGGAAATACGTACTGTTTCCAGGTATTGATGTACTGTGACTCCATGTTTCCAGGATAATGTAATACAAGAATTAAGAAGAGACTGAATAGAAAATCGCAAAGAGGAAAATTAATTCCAAGGGGAAGAGAACGTAATGGGAACATGTTTAAATAGCTGTGGTAAATGTAAAGATAAACCTGTAAGCAGTATTGAAAATGGCCACAGCCAGGTCAGACAGTGGCATGGTGGTCAAGGCAGCTGGATCCTACATGGGTGACTGCATGGTTCAAGTCTTAGAATGGGTGAATTGAAAAGCACTGTAGGTGCATGTGGGTGTGGGCCCCAAATCCCAAACAGAGAGATGGAGAAGGGATTGGCTATCCCCCATGGTTAGGGAGGCCATCTTCCATGGTTGGGGAGCTTTATCATTTTCCCCTTCTTTCTCATTCTCTCTTCTATCTCTGTCTCCTTCTTCAGAGAGTACACACATCTATAGCTAATTGAAAAAAGAACAAAAAATAAAATGGGCACAAACTACTCTAGAATTATTAACTACTACATAACCATAATAGGGAATAAGAACACTTACTCCTCTGTATTCCCAGCCATTTCCCACTGGGTCTTTCCCAATATTTTGTATTTGAATGTACCATGACTTGGACTTGCCTCAGTCAACCCTGAGGTAAACTCTGAGCAGTACCTTAATATTGCTATGAAAACTTCATATTGAATCCACAGATGCACAGCATCCCTATTTTGATGATCTGTAGCTGTGCGTACATACATATATACTCATCCAGTCAGATAAAACTCCTAAAAAGCGTCTCCAGTCTTATTCTCCCTTTGGTTATCCATAGACAGTTTCTTGAGGCAGAATTTATACAGTTGATCTTTGGATCGAACGTTCTTTTTCAAATGGAACCTTGAAGTATATGTTATAATGAAAATATGGCAAATGAGTTTCCTTAGAGTTTGGAGGAAGGGTAATGAGAATATGTTGTGTAAATACATTTGTATCTTGTGGGAATTTGATCAGAGCCAAGAAAATATGGGCCTCTACAGTATTTTTTTTTTGCATATATTTTCTGCATCTTGTTTGCATATGCATTTTTCTCTTCTCTGGTTATTTATCTGTATATCCAGTTCTACTATATGAAATTTTATAGAGTATGGAGCTGTCTGACAGCAAAGCTTTTTTTGTTTTACTGAATGTTTTGTTGGTGCATATGGTCTGACATGGATGAGCAGCCACGGTGAGATTTTGGAGTCTATTAAACTGGCTCATTAAAAAGATCAATCTGTTTCTGTAATAACACTGGGAGCCATCAGTCACTAAAAGAGGGAAAAACTGACACCTGAGGAGAAAACACATTTTGGTAATTTGTTCATGACATGTCATGAACAAAAGAGCACTCTATATTTTGTTTACAACTTCCAGGGCTTTACATTCTGTGACAATTGCTGAGTTAATATACTAAACAGCCATCACGTGTTTCCGGGAAGGGCTTTGCAAATTAACTTTCTTCTTGTCATTAAATATGATTGTTCTTTTTTTTTTTAACATTATTGTTATTTACAGAGAAATGAATACTCTAGGGAAGTCTTCGAAATATTTTGTTTTCTGTATGGAACAGTGAAATGTTTATTACTTTCTATAAAAAATAGCTCTGGGAAGAGTTCCTGAACAATTATACTGAAATCGTGGGTCTGTGGTAGAATATTACAGAAACCAAATTAGAAAACAGACCATTTTCCTTTAAAAATCCCTCCCCCCATTAGGAAATACAAAATTTTGATGGCTATTCTTTGCTAATCTGTAAAAGTTTAGTATTTATTGTAGACCTTTCCTCTTTTGCTATTCTAGGATGGGAGACGCTGAGAAAGGGGATGTAAATCTTTCTTGGAGTCAGTTAAATGAAGTGAACACTTTCATAGAGAGACCAGAAGTTAAGAGCACTCTTTAAACTGCAAACCATGATGGCTTATAAAGACATGAACACTTTTATGTGGAATAGGGAAGAATGAAACAGTTAGATGTTTCCTCCCTTTTGAGACCGCAGAATATATACATATTATTAAGATTTGAAAGAAATACCTGTTATTGCATCAATTACCATTGCTGACTTTCTTTTCTCACAGTTTTGATATTACAGCCTTTTGTTCTAATTTGTCTTTAATATTGTGTTCTCGCCTGTTATGCCACTTTTCTAACTCAGACAATTTTCTTTACTTAAGAAACCAAACCAAATGATCTTAGGTTTACATGAGTACATTTTTTTCTTTTTTCCCCTTTCCCCTCCTGGCTAGTTCAAATGATTGATGTTAAATATTAATCCTCTTCTTATATATCATCACTTTAATGTAATTATGCCCCATATTACTCTCAGTTTAACATGTCTAGACTTTTATTGCAAAAGCCATAGGGTTGGATTAATGTGTTTTTCCTATTTTCCTGATAATTAAACATTATTTTTTAACAGTACTTGCTTGAAATTTAAGATTATATAATGGGTCAGTTGGAAGGGATCTTATAAATATAACAGGCCAACACTGTGTCTTTATATTTGGGGAAATTAAGGCCCAAAGAACTTGTCTATAGTCACAAAGTTTCTTGATGGAAAATCCAGCAAATTTACATGCCTGATATGTTCCAGTTGCACAAAGTATGTTTAATTGTTCAAAATTTAAATAAGGAACATTCAACTAACAACTGACTTTTAAAAAAATTAGTTTCACTCATTTCTTTCTTTTCTATAATTGTTCAAGTAAGTAAATGTTAGAGTACAGTAGTGTGAGATTTTATAAATAATTTCAATGATAGAAGAATCAAAATCAACCAGGTCACCTG